ATAGAATAGAATAGAATAGAATAGAATAGAATAGAATAGAATAGAATGAAGTAGCTGCCCTTTAGCATGTATGTCAGCATATGAAGCTCTTGTTTGATGATGTCTCTGTCCTGGTTGGTCCCTGAGATTGCTCGTGTACTTTCACTTTCCCCCTAAATCCTTTGTTCCCTGTCAACCTTGAACCTCCAACACTGAACACTGAGGCTGAACACACCCAGGTTTGGAGAGAGCAGGACCCCTAGAACAGAAGGGTCCCACTTGACTTCGAGTCTCACAACTGACTTTCTTTGCCTATTCATCAGGACAGTATTCTTGAAAGTCAGAAGTTGCCTCTTTGTAAAGAGAGGGAAATTTTGTCTAAATCCCCAATAATCCTTGGAATGGTAAGAACCAAGATGGACTGTGCCTCTATCAAAGAACAGTGGAGAGAGCACATAACCCCTGAGCCCTTCCCAATCCATTGCCCACAAGGGGATTGGGGCAAGAGTAAGTCCTTGCCAAGGAGGACGATGAAGTGAAATGCCACCATCTTCCAGCTTTCTGGAAGGTGGGATGGAATGTGGGCCTCGGAACAGGATGCCCAGACTTCCCTGCCTAGGAGAGAGAAGGTGTTGAGAGGGAGGCCCCGGTGAGAGGGACTTTTGTTCCACCTCTTGTCTGGGGGGCAGCTCCTCCAAGGGTCCTGTCTCCCTTGTCCTGTTGCTGCTGGAATGTCCTTTCCACTAGGGCATGAATCTTTGTTCACCGATCTTATGAACCTACGACAGTGCCTGCAACATAGTAGGTTCTCAATAACATAGGAGTGACTGCGTTAGCATAAAAGTGATTGGAGGCTGCCTCTGGGCAGAGCTCCGCCCCCCCACCCCCGTGGCCTGGGAGGTATCCAAGGGTCTCTTTGAGCCCCATGGGGGGCATATGGATGAGCGGAGGGGGCTGGGTGGTGGGCTTGTGTCGAGTGTTGCCACAAGGGAGGTTGTGAAGAAGCCCTTTCGACTAGAGGGGCAACTGTCCCCTCAGCCAGTGTCCGGGGGACACTCATCACCAGTGAGACCCGATGGGGCTGAGTCAAAGAGACTCAGATATTGCTAACAAGCATATGTGAGCTTCTTTTCCACTCCTTCAATTGGAGCTGGCATTGGCCCCTACTTCACAGGGTTGCTATGAGAATTAAATAAGCACTATGTCAAGAGCATTTGCAGTCTGGCAGGTTGTAATCAATGTCCTTGCTGTGACTTGTTCTCCAGAGATGTGGCGCTCCCGGGGACGAGGTCAGTGGTGAAGAATGTTACATTTATTTTGCACATCAGAGTGTAGTGTGAAATTTTTTCTTTCTTTCTTTTTTATTTTTTTTTGCTACCATAACACTTAAAAACAACACAATATGAGTAGGGATTTGTGGTTTACAAAGCACTTTTGAACATTGCCCCTTGAATCCTCTCAACAATGCCACAGCGGGGAAGATCATTTCTATTTTAATTTTGCAGATCTAGAAAGCTCAGTGAGTTTGACAGGCTCACCCAAGGTCATGCTTCTAGCAAATGCTGGAGCCAGCTCTGAAATCCAGGACTCCTGACTCCAAATCCCCTTTTCTTTCAACACCATCACTCCTGTAAATGGGCCCCATGCCACCGCAGAGGGCAGGACCCTCCACCTACTTCTCGGGTCATGAGACTTCCCTCCTACAAGGAGGCTTTTGTTGAATGGGAGTGGGGTGCTGAGAAAGGAACAGGATTACAGAGGGTCCCAAACATGCAGTGGTGAAAGAACAGATTCTATGGCTAACTTCACAAGCACTGGGCTCATTTGTACAACTGTCCTGCTTATGTGGCATGTGTCTCACTGATCCTGAGATCTTACCAAGTGTTCCCACCAGCGTTGTGTGGCGACTGAGCCATCCTCAATCTTGCAGGCTCAGAAGCGGAGATCCCAGACAGCCTTCCCAGGTCCTGCAGAATCAGAGGTGACTCAGCTGTAAGGAACCCCCATCATCAGAAAGTGGAAGTGGCCGGTGGAGGTGGCCAGCGTCATGAACAAGGGAAATGAAGTCAGACACACTTGGGTAAGCTGCCCAGAGGAAGGACTTTCCCTTCTGAGTTAAGACCCTGTTGGTGGCAAACAACAGAAGCCCAGTTCAGATTCAATAGGGGTTATTTGGTTTTTTAAAAAATGGATATTACCTAACACGTGGGGGTGGTGCTCGGGGGTGTCTCACAGAATTCAGGCCAGGCCATGAGGTGGATCCAGGGGCCGGGAGATCCTCGGGGACCAGGAGATCCTCGGGGGCCTGGACCTGTCTTCGGGTCAGGTCTGCCGCTCCCTATCTCTTCGTGGCTGGGCTGGCATCTCCAGCTTCCTGGTTGCCTGTGAGCCTAACTGTTCCCGTGTGCAATGCCAGATGCCCAGCGCAGGGGACTTGATCCTCCTGGCCTGGGGGTCTCCACACTCACTGTGGTTGGATTGGCCCTGGCTGTTCTGAAGGGCACCCACGGGCCTTCACTGGGCCTGGCCTCCAGACTAAGCCACTAAACGGTGGTCAGATGCAGGACAGGCCTTTGGGCCACCATGCAGAAAAAAAACGTTCGCATGTGGAAGAGAGGAAGTTTATATGGCCTTCTATTTTTTTTTAATTGCTGAAGGACTAAGTTTTTCTTTCCATTTCAGCCTTCTCCTTGCAATCTACCCCGAGGATGGCTCTCATGCCAGTCATAGAGGTGGCTGCTTTCTGGAAAAGGCAAAAGTCGTTTTTTTTTTTTTTTTTTTGATGCAACCGCCTGCCTAGTGCTCTGACGCATACAATTTCCTCCATAAGTCAAACAGCCACTCCTTTGCACCTGTTACGGAGAGACTTGGCCCTGGGATTCAAGATGAGACCAGCAAGTGACAGGGCCCCTCAGCCTCCAGATGCAGTTTGAATTTTGTGGTTTGTATTCATTGCCTCCTCTTCCCTCCATATTTCTCATTTGGTAGAGGGAGGCCTGCTGACCCCACAGACTCTCAACTCTGGGGCTCACCTGCTGAAGGAACCGACTCAGAAAGGTGTGGCCCCGCTTTACGTGACATCTTGGCTGGTTGGGAGTTTTACTCTCTTGTGGCACGCCAGAAAAATTTGAGGGTTTGTCTCTTCCAATTTCAAGCTGTCCCCCCCCCACAACGTTTAACTGAGGGAGTAACAGAACAGTAATTCTAGTGGGAGCGCATTTCACAGAAAGTTATAAGACTGAGAATTTATGCATGGCATTGCGAAGTACTTTCCTGGAAAGGAGTGTAAGGCAGGTGTTTCTCAGCCAGCCTGATGTGGGCGTAAGGGATGCTCAGTGGAGCCTCTGTCTTGAGCTACAGTTCAGGGCTGTCTCAGAGCTGCTTCTCTGAGCACGTTCTGGTTTGTGGTCACGCTCTCTCTGATCCTTTGCACCCCGGGTCATTAAGTTGGCTTCCGTCTACCCTGCTGGCCCTCACTAGTGGGGTCCTCCTCTGCACTGAGGCCGACCTTCTGCCCCATTCCCTGCTGTTATCGCAGCACAGGGGGGTCACGAAGGAGAACATTCTCCCTCACACGGCTAACTTTTATTATTCAGATCCCAAATGGGACAAGGTCCAAAAAATCTACCATTTCACTCAGCACCCCTAAGTGATTCTCCTCTTTGAATAAACCCAGTCTTTGCATTCATTATGCTTTTCCCTCCCAAGAAAAGTTACTTAGAAAGAAAAGAGGGATGATGTTTATGATCTTTTGCTCAAGATTTATGTCATCACATGGAGGAAGCTACAGCAATCGCTCTTACTGAGTACATTTTGGTGCCTCATCATAAACAAGACCAGGCCAAGGTCAGATGCAGCAACTGCCTGACCCAAAGCATGCGCTTGTTCTCTTCGGTCATTTATTTTTGGTGTCACTATACTCGAGAGAGAATTTGCCCCAGAAAACTTCTGGACAGTATGGTGAGTTAATAGGGAAATATGAAGGTGGCATTTAGGACTGCCCCACCACCTCAGATGACTTGATTTGCCCACAGCATTTTTGTTTGTTTTTGTTTTAAAGATTTTATTTGTCAGAGACAGAGAGAGAGAGCATAAGTAGGGGGAGCAGCAGAGGGAGAGGGAGAAACGGCTCCCCACTGAGCAGGGAGCCCGATGTGGGCCTTGATCCTAGGACCCTGGGATCATGACCTGAGCCAAAGGCAGACGTTTAACCGACTGAGCCACCCAGGCGCCCTCCCTCACAGCGTTTTTATCACAGCCTATATCATGTTAGGTAGCGATGGTAGTGGCATTTTTGAATATTTCTTTATTCTGTAGAAATTACCCCAGGCTGGTCCCCCACTAACCGCTGAGGTACACAATTCGAGGAACTCCAGAAGAGCCAAATAGACACATGCACAGAGACATAGGGGCCCCGATTTACCCGGGAACATCCACATCCACAGAATAAGAATTAAGCAAATCCTTCCCTCCCCCTTCATTATTAGAAGGGGAGGGCAAGGCAATCAGCATTTAGGTCCCTGGCACTGGGCTAGGAATTTTATGCACGTTATTGAATTACTTTCATACCTTCCTTGTGAAGTAGGTTTCGTGATTTCCACTACCGTGTTGAAGACCTTGAGGCTCACCCCTGTGAAAAAGGAGACAGGACTGCTGTGGGCTCTTTCGTCAAGCTCCCCAGCCATCACCAGAACTGGGAACTTTCCTTACTAAGGTTTGATGAACTTCTAGGGCCCTGAGAAGGGGTTGGAGAGCCTCAAACAACATTGTGAAATGAATGAAGTTTGTATTTGGCTCCTTAGAGCAACCCCACTCCTGACAGCCAGCAACCCAGTGCCTTCCCCAGCCTTTCTGCGCCTCCTCTCAAACCCCCAGGGCCACCATCAACTACTCCCCGAAAGCCAAAAAGGCAAAAGGTAGGGTACCTTTTGGGGAGGACACTCCAAGAGCAAAAAGCCTCGGATCTCAAATGAGCCTCTCTCCTCAAGGAATTTCAGGCTCCGAGACAGGCAGCGTCTACACATTGTTTTGTCACACTCAGCCCCACCCCTTCTCCAAAGCCCATGGGAAACCGGCTGACGTCATATGTATATGGCGCTGCACCTCGGTGACTGAACAGTCGTGGTCCTCTGCTGAAGCCTGAGGGTTTTAGAGCAGCCCTTTCCCCAGAGTTTGTTTCCTGCACGAAACTAGGCTCTTCGGCCTCCTTTGCACAGTGCAGTTGCCTTATGTCTGCCTCATCACCCGTCAGTTCATTGTAGCCATTAAAAGCCAGACGGATGAACAGTGACATACCAGCAGCATGGCCTTCCAGACCAGGGACGAAACAATGTCCCAGGACCACTTCCTTATGTGACGTTGTTCTGAAAGGGTCAGTCAATACAATTAGACAACAGAATGAAGGAATGTAATATAAATATTTTGAAAGGGAAAAATATCATTATTTACAGATGATCTGATCACATAGTTGAAAAATACGATATAATTATGTGGAAAATTGAGTACAGTAAGATGGCCAGATTTTTTTTTAAGGCAAAATCAATGTCCTTGGAGGAAATAACAACCCATTAGAAAATAAAATGTAATAGGCCCCATTCACAAAGGCAGCTCTACAACAATAAAATAAAATAAATAAATAAAATAAAATAATAAAATAAAATATGTACAAGACAGATGAATAGAGTAGTAAAACCCATTCGAGAGACATAAAATAAAGCCTGAATAAATAACAGGCTATCTTGTTCTCAGATGGGCAACTTCATATTGTGTGGGGGACTTCCCAGATATTCTGATAGTGACTTCTAGTTTAATTGCATTATAGGCAGCAAGGATAATTTGGATGACTTAAATTCTTTTAAGTTTGTTAAGGTTTAATGCATGGCACAGAAAAGGGTTTATGGGAATGTTCTATGTGCACTTGAAAGTTATGTGCATACTGCTCTTATTGGATAGAATACTTCATAAATATTAATTAGATCAAATTGTTCAAGTTCTCTACAGCTTTGCTGATTTTCTGTCTACCTGTTCTATCAATTATTGAGAGAGGAAGGTTGAAATCTCCAACTGTAATTGTGGGTCTGTCTATTTCTCCTTTCAGTACTGTCACTTTATGCCATGAATATTTTGAAGGTCTGTTGTTTGGTGCATTCACCAAGGAGGTATAACAATCTTAGACATGTATATGCCTAACAAAAGAACTTTAAACATACATATCTTCTTGGTGACTTGATCTCTTTACCATTAAATAGTGTCCCTGTTCATCTCTAGGAATATTCTGTATTCTGAAATCTACTTTGTGATAATTAATATAGTGATTCCAGCTTTCTTATGCATTGTGTATCTATCTTTTTTCATCATTTTACTTTTTTTAAAGATTTATTTATTTATTTAGAGAGAGTGAGAGCGGGGCTGGGGAAGAGGAGAGGGAGAGGGAGAAACTTAAGCAGACTCTGTGCTGAGTGCAGAGCCTGATACAGGGATCAGTCCCACAACCCTGAGATCATGACCGGAGCTGAAACCAAGAATCGGATGCTTCACTGACTGAGCCACCCAGACACACCTCATCCTTTTACTTTTAACTGATCTTTGCCTTTATATTTAAAAGTAGCTTCCTTTGGACAGCACATATTTGCATCTTGCTTTTCCAGTAAATCTCTTTTAATTGGTGTGTTTAGACTATTTACAATTAATGTAATTATTAACAAGGTTGAATTTAAATTTATCATCTTACTACTTTGTTTTCTATTTGTCTTTTGTTCCTTTATTCCTGTCTTCCTGCTTTCTTTTGTAGTAATTGGATTTTTTATAATTCCATTTTATCCTAATTATTAGCTTTGTTACATCTCTCTGAAGCTTTTGGTGATTGCACTAGGGCTTATAATAGGCATCATTACTTATCACAGTCTACCTTCAAATAATATTATTTCATTTACTGCATCACGTAAGAACCTGACAACAATAACACAAAAAATGGAAAGAGTAAATTTGAACCTGACAACAGTTTATGTCCAAATTCATTCTTTCCATTTTTTGTTATTGTTGTCATGCACTATACTTTTATATATGTTATAAACCCTACAACATAATGTTTCTATGTTTGCCTCATCTGATCAATAGTCTTTTAGAGCAATTAAAAATAAGGAAAATGTATTTTACTTTTGCTTTTACACTTTCTGGCATTCTATTTCTTTGTGTAGACCCAAGTCTCTACCTAATATTATATTCCTTCTGCCTGAAGAACTTCCTGTAATATTTTCTGTAGTGTAGTTTGCTGGCAAAGCATAATCTCAGGGGGCGCCTGGGTGGCTCAGTCAGTTAACGCCTGCCTTTGCCTCGGGTCATGATCCCGGGGTCCTGGGATCGAGCTCTGCATCAGGCTCTCTGCTTGACTGGGAACCTGCTTCTCCCTCTTCCCCAGCTCATGCTCTCTCTCTCTCTCAAATAAATAATTAAAACTAAAAAAAAAAGAATAATCTCAGATTTTGTTTTTCTGGAAAAGTCTCTATTGTACCTTATTTTTTCAAAGATATTTTTGCTAAATATAGAATTCTAGGTTAACGATTTTCACTTTTCTCTTTTGCTATTTCAAGATGTCCCTCCAGTATCTTTTTTTTGGCTTGCATAGTTTCTTATGAAAAGTCTTCTGTAATTCTTATCTTTGTTCTGCTTTATATAGTGTGTCTTTTTTCTCTGCTTGTCTTCATAATTTTCTTTTTCTTTCATACATAAGTTGACATTGGGTCATCTTTTTTATAATTTTGTAATAAAATAAAGCTGAATCTCTGCTTTACTCTTTACATCAAAATAAATTCTAGATAGATAAAAGATTTCAGTGCTAAAAAAACATGGAACTATAAAAACACTAGAAGAAAATATGTATGTTTTTTAAAATTTGGGATGGGAAAAATATTTATGAGCATGCTATAAAATTCAAACATCATAATGACATCGAAAACTTTTAACACATTGGGCTTTAAACTTCTCTGAGCCAATATCAAAACAGGAGGTCATAAACAAGTTGAAAAGTTATGGACAACATATGGCAAATTTTTTCACTTACATGCCAAACAAAAGATTTATTTATATATTAAAAAACATCAATATCAATAAGGAAAAGATGAATAATGAAATAAAAGATAGAACATAGGAGGAAGCAATCCCAGAAATAAAAAGCAAATAAACCTTTGAAAAGTTGTTTGTTTTTGTTATAGAGAATGCTAATAAAAATATCCTTTTTTAATCTTATCAGATTGGCAAAGATTAAACAATAACACAGTACTCGATGTTGCAGAGGGCCTAGGAAAACAAAACAAACTCTCACAAGCATCTTTTGTGAGTTTTTAAACTGATAAAATCTTTCTGAAGGGCCAGTTGGCAAAATGAATAAAAATTTAAAATTCTTCATGCCTCCCTCCAACCCAACATGTTGAGAGGCAGCACAGAGTGGTGGTTAAGCACATGGGATTTAGGAGTGTCTGGATGGCTCATTTGGTTACGTGTTTACCTTTGGTTCAGGTCATATCTCCAGGTCCTGGGATCGAGCCCCCTCTGGGGCTCCCAACTCAGCGGGGAGTCTGCTTCTCCCTCTCCTTCTGCCCCGCCCCCTGTTTGTGCTCTCTCTCTCTCAAATGAATAAATAAAAAATCTTAAAAAAAAAAGCACATGGTAATTAGCATCAGATTATCTGGATTCTAATCCTGGTTCTGTCACATACTTGCTGTGTGACACTGGGCAATTTACATAATCTCTGTGTTTTACTTTTATTGTCTGTCAATCGAGGATTTTTTTTAAGATTTTTATTTATTTATTTGAGAGAGAGAGAATGAGAGATAGAGAGCGCAAGAGGGAAGAGGGTCAGAGGGAGAAGCAGACTCCCTGCTGAGCAGGGAGCCCAACATGGGACTTGATCGCCGGACTCCAGGATCATGACCTGAGCCAAAGGCAGTCGCTTAACCAACTGAGCCACCCAGGCGCCCTCAATCGAGGATATTAAATACCTACCTCATTAGGTCATCACGGGATTTAATAAATTAGTATCTATAAAGCAATTAAAATGGTGAACAGCACATGTTGAATCTACATCAATATGAGTGTTTACTATTAACATGTCAGTCTTCGTGAAAATCCTCCTTGAAATCCTTGGGTCATCCAAGCAAAAATCACCTTGTAAGATTTTTTTTTTCTGTTAATTACCAGAAGATGGTCTAAATTATTTGAACCTGTAGGTCCTCAATTTTAAGTAAAATGATGTGATATTTTAATAGTTTAGCAGTTTGAACTTAGGTGCAAAGGTGTTTGAATCTTATAAGCGCACTTGACATTTTGAGGATCGATGGCTTACTTGTATCTCAGCCCACAAATGCCTGGACACTTTCCTTAAGAGCCATGACAGTGTTCTTACACCATAGATGAAAGAGCATCTGCTCTTGCCATAGGGCCAACCCAATGTGATACGCCATGCCCTCCATTCTGTGCCACCACTGTTAAATCTGCTGAAAGAGGCTGATAGAATTGTTGTCCCTCTTCTGAATGATGGAGACACAAGACTCCTTAGGGACCTACAAGTAAGGACCCATGTGACTAGATAAAAGGCATTTGCCCTTGGTAGCATTTTTGGAACTAAGAAATTCTTCTTTTACCACTGAAACATCCAACAATTCCACTTCTAGGAATTATCTGAAGGTGATAATTACAAGTACACAAAGATGCTCAGAGTAGTAAAAACAACTACTCAAGTATTCATCCATGGCCAGTTTTTTAAATAAACCATGGCTCATCTATGCAATATTGGTTCAGCCATTACACATATTGTTGTGGATGTACATTGAACACAAGGGAAAGATTCCATATCATTGGATAGATCACACTGGTTGCATGTATATAGTGTGAGCATTCATTTATTTTCTTCATAGACCTTATATCCACTTAAAATTATATACTTTTTGTTTGCTTATTATCTGTTGCCCTCACTAAAACAACATCAGGGAATTCAAGTTTACTGTGATCCCCAGAATCTTGAACATCCTAGACATTCAAAACTGTTTGTTGAATGAACAAATGAACAAATGAATTCTACTTCTGTATATTATGTATCTCTCTCTCTCTCTATATATATATACATATATATGTATTAAAGGGAAATGTCTGGGGCCACCTGGGTGGCTTAGTTGGTTGAGCATCTGACTTTTGATTTCGGCTCAAGTCATGATCTCGGAGTTATGGGATTGAGCCCCACATGGGGCTCCATGCCTAGTCGGAGTCTGCTTGAGATTCTCACCCTCTCCCTTTGCCCCTCCCCCTACTTGAGTTCGTGCTCTCTCTCTCTAAAATAAATAAAATCGGGGTACCTGGGTGGCTCAGTCTTTAAGCAGCTGTCTTCGGCTCAGGTCGTGATCCTGGGGTCCTGGGATCGAGCCCCAAATCAGACTCCCTGCTCAACGAGGAGTCTGCTTCTCCCCCTCTCTCTGCCCCTCTCCCCTGCTCATGCTCTTTCTTGCACTTGCTCTCTCTCTCAAATAAATACACAAAAGCTTTAAAAATATATATTTAAAATAAAATCTTTAAAAAGAAAAAAGAGAGAAATGTCTAGAAAGATAGTTCACCCAAAGACTGGCAGTGGTTGGCTCTGCATGACAGAAGGTGTCTCTCCCTCCTCCCCAACTCCTTACTCCCCAGCTACATATCCATAAATACAAAATGATGTACGAATATATTCTCAGTGTATAAACTTCCAACAATATGGACAAAAATGATAAAAATAAAAAGAAGAAGTTCCCTTTCATTCTGTCCTCCTTCCACCCCACCAAGTCTGCCTTTCTTCCCAGAGATCAGCACCATTATCAGTTTTGTTTGTATGTTTCTAGACTTGTGCATAATCCACCTACATATATAGACAGACACAACTTTTTTGGTGTGTGTTCTTTAAACAAAAAAGAACTAGTCTGTAATATTGTTCTGCAATTTGCTTTCTTCATGTAACAGTATATATTGAAGTGTTTTCCATACCACTACATATGATTCTTTCTTGTTCTTTTTAACTGCTCGGCAATAATCTGTAATATGCATGTGTTACCTTGTTACCTATAAGGATGTTTTCTGGTGTATTCGGTCACTTCCCCACTGATGGGCATTTAGGTTGGGTCCACTCTTTTGCTATCTCAAACTACTGTTTTGCAAGGCATCTAATTTGATTGCCTTTGTGACCACTCTGTGTATTCTTTTTTTTTCAAGATTTTATTTATTTGAGAGAGAGAATGAGAGACAGAGAGCATGAGAGGGGGGAGGGTCAG